AACAACAGAGTTTCAGTTATAGTGGCCTAATGGGTTAAGTTGGTACCTAGCATGAATTTTTCCAGTGTTTTATCTCCAGCCCAACCTGAAAGGCCCTCAGTATCTAAGGCATACAAAATAATGAGGTGTTTAGGGTTGAAAGGATGTAAATTGTGATATGGGCAGTAGGTAGAGCTGTAAACACTAGTTTCAGAAAGAAAATTTGATCCCATTTTAAAGAAAACAAATTTTTATTTTTATAAGGAAACTAACTCTCTCTCTCTCTCTCTCTCTCTCTCTCTCTCTCTCTCTCTCTCTNNNCTCTCCTCTCTCTCTCTCCCCCCTTATAAACTTTTGAGGCCCCTGGGAAAACCCTCCCTGGCTTCCCTTGCCCTACGCTAAGGAAGGCTAATTGAGATTCTTCAAGGGAAATCCCTTTTCTTTTCTCCTGTAGCCATGGAAAGGCTCATTAAGCATTCTATACTCCATTTCTTTCCCAGACCCTGACTTTGCTTTAGCCCAAGTACTGAAGCCCAGGAAGTGATGTCGGGGCTTCCATTAAGCATGCCCTTGAGTCCTCCCCTCCCCCAAGCTCGGTATGGGAACTGAGCCTTGCCCCGCGTGTGGCAGATTCAGAGAGCAGCCATGCTGGCATGAAGCTGGCCTTTCCTAGGTGGATGGTCCCACTCTTGATATACCACCTCGGAACTTCCAGGCTGCATCACCTCCGCTGCCAGACCACCCCCCTTGGGGCCGGCACACAGGAAAAAAATCTCCCCGAAGTGGTCTTCCCTACCTGCCAATGACCACTTTTTCCTAACAAAACAATCCCTTGGCAGCCTACCTCATAATGCCATGTTCATTTTCACTTGAGTATCTTTTTCAGGTGACCCCTTGCATAGGAGCCCTTTCTGTGTCCCTCCCTGCCTGCGGTCTGCCTCCCCACTGTGAGCTGTGCTGGTGAGGAGCTGGGGCAGCTCCACCTTCTCGGAAAGTGGGGGTGGGGAAAGCTGGGAAGGAAAAGGGCAATTCGGGACACAAGGCAAGTAGGGCTCATGACTTTTCCCCCTTTCAGTGTGTGCGCCCACTGAGCTGTCCTGTTTCTGCTTTGTAATGGGTTCTTCCGTGGCAAGCTGACCTTTTGGCTGAATAGGTCAGACTCCCACTGAGCACTGATCCTCAGCCTTCCTGGCGTCTGTGCGTCCCCAGAGGAGAGCAGCACTGGTGAGGAATATGATGGGAGGTGTGCGGTATGTTTCCCCAAAGAGGGATTGCCTCTCACTGCACTGCATTAATGCTCAAAGAACGCCTCACCAGGGTATGCAGAAGAATCTAGATGAGGACATTTTTGCCAACGTTGTTGAGGGACAAAACTAATTTTTAAGATTGTGGTTTCCTTCTTCATCTTCCATTTCTTAATGAGAGAAAGGCCAAATGCCCAGTCCTAGTGATTTGTTGTCATTTTAAATTTCTGAGACAATCAGAATTTCTGTAGTTGTTTTTAAAATCTTTTTCCCTATATATCTCTTCCACTTAAGGTCTCTGAAAATTCTAGTTGTCTTATTTTTTAGCCTTGCAAAATATGAGATAATAGTGTTGTGGTGTGTGGTGATAGTTGATAAAACTAGGCCCAGGTTTGTTTTAAATTGCTTTAAATTTTGGACTGTTTATTAGGTTTTATAACACTGTTATCTTATAGTAGCTGGCAATTTTCTACAGCAAGTAGGCACTCAGTAAATGTTGAATTTGGGGTTGAATTACTGTATTTCTATGGTTTGATTTTTATTCTTTTACAGTTTGTATAAACTATTCAATTTACAGTTCTCCAATCTCACTATCAGTGAGTTAGGGATATAATCTTCAGATAAGAGATTACATGTTCCACTTATTTAGCAATATGCTGCATACATTTTTGGTTAATTTAGCTAGTATTCTTTAAATTTCAAAAAGTAGGGTCTTTTAATTGAACAGATAAGTGAAATGTCAATAGATTAGACAAAACAGTGACCTATTTAGCAATTATAAGTGTACATGGTTGTCCACGATACCAAATGGTTTTAGAAATTGTCAATCCAAAATAAAAAAAAAAAAACTCTTGAGAGAGCTTCATAAGCAGTGTATTGCTTTTCTGAGAATGATGGACCTCACTGAGGAAATAACTACTTTTTCTTGAGGCATTAATGATACTTTATAAACACAATGAGATTAGCAAAGAGAAACAAAACAACTATTTGCATTGTTCTTGATTTATCAGATTATTATCTCAATTCTCAAGATGCCAAATGTGATAAGATAAAAAGTATAAGATAAGAAGTACATATTTAACATCTATTCACTTACCGATAATGCTAGCTAGAGTCAGAGCTGGGTTTCTACCAGGGGCATAATGGGCTCCTGTTTAACATATTTATGTTGGTTGTAAAATTAGGAACTGTCATTACAACCCCACATCACCTGCATAAGTGCAAAACATATAAATCAAGAGAAGTTCCACTGCCATAAAAATGCCATTGAATAGTGTAGCATGAAACCACTTACAGGAGACTTGTGTGTTACACTGGCAAGTACTGAGATGCACACTCAGGTTTCTAGGGGATTTGAAGAACAAAGAATAACCCCCATGCAGGTGGGATTTATCAGTATAATGCCTGATGGAGACATGTAGGATCCCCAGGCTACTCGTACTTTTAAAAATAAAATTCCTGTGCATTTGCAACATTTACTTAGAGAACAGCACGGGTCCTAAGTGAGAAAAAGGCAGAAGAAAGACCAGCCCCTGCCAGGCTTGAATAACCCTGCAGCTCCCGCCGGAAGGCAGCTGTTCCCGTAGTTGGAGCAGGCATTTGGGCTGCTCTCTGTGTTACTGGAACTTGCCTTTTGGGCCTTTTAGGAACGAGGCATACTCCTTACCTTTCCTGTGATGTGTTTGGGTCCATCTATATAGCCTGGTGGCCATTGCTCTCCTGGCCTTCTCTCAATCCAGTTCTTTGTTAGAATAGTCTGTGTTTCCTAAAAGCAGTCCATGTCTACTGTGAGGTGAAATAGTTTATTTTGAACTTTGTAACTGGAAACCCTAAAAAGCTCCCAAATTATGAACTATTAATAAAGAGCTTTCTGGATCCTAATTACTGCCTCAGAAACAGAGTGGACGCTTTTGAAGTTTTTCAACTCCACCTCCTCCTTCCCCAAAGCTACCCCCCTAACAATCTTTAAAAAAAAAAAGACTGCAGATTTTATTCATGTGGGATCATTCACACCAAGCTACCATAATGTGCAATTAACACTCTAGAAACTGAAAACAGTATTCAGCAAGACAGCTGCATTATCAAAAATGCCAAAGGAGTTTTGAAGGGAGTAATGTGCATGTTAGAATAGGAAATTAATCAGAAACACGCACACACACTCACACACACACAGTGGTACTGTCTTAAGTATATCTGAATATTAAATTTTAAATCTTATGTCTACATTTACAGTAAAAATTACTCTTAGGATAGAAAACTGATTTTTTTATTTTAAAATTATTAGTTGTGTGTTTCTTTTCTGAAGTGAGGAAGTGAGGAAGTTTGACTAGAAATCTCTAAGATCCCTCCCAGCTGGAATATTCTTTGCTAATAATCACTCTTCAATTATATTTTATAAATTTTCCCATTGAAAAAATGCTCCTTTATTTCCTCTTGCCAGTAATAATGATACTTAACACTCATGCTGTTTTCAAAGTGCCTTTCAGACATTGCAGACAGTAACTCACAATTGCAGGGGTAAACTTCCTACTTTTACATAGCACAATAATCATAAGTACATTTATATTACAATCCCTACTAAGCTATGGATCCAACTGACTGAGTAACTGAAACGAAGCAGAATTATCCCAGCAGCATTTTGCTGAAATCTTCTTGTCAACCAGCTGAACGTGTTTTTAGAAGGAAGGAAGTAGGGAGCTTTGATTTTATTTTCAATTCATAGTGTCTAGGTTTGATGGGGTAGAGGTTTAATAAAATTTTTAAGAAAAGCAAGAAGACATGAGGAATTGCCTTGTTGGAAATAAAGAAAAGATCTGAATATATTCCTTCATAAATTACTGTAAAGCGAACAGCTTTTTTTTTTTTTGAGAACTTTTAAAAGAAGGAAAATACCTGGAACCGATTTAAGCAATGTGACCCCATGCAAAAAAAAAAAAAAATTCTGAAGAAAATACCCACAATTATGGACCCATAAATACCATGCATTAAGCTCCTTTTTGTTGAGGATTGTGGGGCTCCTTGAGAGCAGGTGGCTGCAAACAGCACATGTTGGTTACGCCAGGAAGACAAGGACTGACCTTAAGTTGTACGAGGACAGGAGTATTCAGATAAGAAAATGGTCACTGATGTGGTGAGAGTCCACCTGGGCTTCTTGTAGGTCCTGTAGGAATAGCTACGTGGGGAATTTCAGTAAATATGAAATTTAGCCATCCTGAGACACTTAACACTAATGCAAACAGTTGTTAAGAATAATCTCTTATTCGACATGTGCTTATTAAATTATGATAGCTTTTGTATTAGAACACTAAAAATATTTTCTGTTTGCTTTTTCCAAGCTTAGAGGATATAAAAAGTTTAGGTTTCCTGAGGGGGTGTGGGGGAGATGGAAGGCAGTATGTGTATGCTTCAAAAATATGCTTTAAATCTGAAGAAAAACAGTTTAATAATTTAAAGGAATGTACACCTTCATGTTTTTGCTCCAATGCAGGAAAAACAATCCAAAATGAAAAAAAAAAAATTCCAAGAATCTGGATATGTCTTTTAATGATTGGAGATACTGATGTTCTGAGTCAAACATTCAACCTAGGCTCTGCTTCTGCTAAGGCAAAAATCAGAATCAAAAAATTAACACTGGGCTGTTTCTTTCAGATAGATCTTTTTGATACAGTAACTAGCTAGTGATGCAATTAGAAATTAAGTTGAAAGTGTGACTCAGAGCTCCAACTTAATATTTTTTCTTTCTTTCTTTTCTTTCTCTCTGTTTTTTTTAAGTTATAGGTGCACAACGAAGGAGAAGCCCCAGTGCACTGGCCATTGAAGTATTTGAAGCACATTTGGGAAGTCACATTTTGCAGGTACCTTTAAATGAAAATGAAGCTTGCTTATCTTTTATTAAAAAAATCCATGTGTTTAGTCATGATTACAACATTTTTTATTGCAGCTATGTATGTGACTGTTGTTCAATCTTGGAATTGTGAAATTCTTATGAATTTATTTTTTTCTTTTTAGAAAGCCATCCCTTGAGAGACTATTAATGAGAAAGGGAGGGCAAGTATTATTTGTGCTGTAATAGTTGAGATGAATGGCACTGTTCAGTTGATGCTCAATGTATAGTAGCTGGCTGTTCCCAGAATGGTTGTGTGTGCTGCATTTGCAAGTGGATATATGTGTCTGTCTTTGGAGCTATATATTGTTTCTGGAAAAGCAAAATGTTGTTGTGACAGTAATGTGACATTTTTATGTGTTGCCAAATTTCAGTTGTTCTTTGCTTGAGTTTGTCTTCCTAAATGCTTCCATTCTTACTGTTGGCCTCCTCAAATTACAGACTTTCTCAGGATGAAATTTTAAAGTGAATTTTTTAAGTAAAGGAGACAAATAATAACAATAGATTTTGCCAATGAATCTCATGACAAATAAATGTGAGGGTTACTCAGATAGAATGGCAGTGATTTAGTCCTAGAGAAGACTCACCCAAAACTCAACATCTTGCTTACTCAAAACTCTTTTTGGCTTAAGACTTTGCTCTCAGGGCCACACATCCAGGGCAGGTGTTCTACATTGTTTCTGCTTTCAGGAAATATGTTGGCATGGCCAAATGTCCAAAGCTTTTTTTTTTTTTTTTT